TATATATATATATATATAAAAATTCTGTTATGGCAATAAACTTCCATAGTTTTTTGCTAAAATCATTTGATTTTACACAATCAATGTCTGATCTGAGCTACTTGCATATCTGGTAATAAATCATATATTTATGGTTTTTATATGATTGTTGTTTATCGTTTTTTTTCCTCCAGTATAACTTAAGTGGTATAACCACAATTTTTTGTAATTTTAACTCGATGTGGCTTCATTTGTATTCTTAATGTCATTTAAGTTTTAAAAATGTTTAATTTGAAACTATAGAACTAAGATGAACATGCCAGGACAGGGTGTTTCTCACACACGGGTCAGTTTAGAAACATCTGATATGTGCTATGTTTTTAAAAAGGTCATGTGAACAACCTCTCAGAAGAATTAGAAAATTGGAATTGTTGGCTTGCAGTTTGAATTCATGTAGATTTATTACACAAACGTCTTGTGCAAATGTAGCTAGTCTCAAATGAGCTGTAGCCTGTTGCGGTTGACCGTAGCCACAACTGATGCTGATCTGTTACTCGCCCAAAATAAAAGGTGCTTTCTTTGTTCGACCCTGTTAACCCCCATTGTGTTTAGGAGCAGTAATGACCGCGCCATCTGATTCCCTTCAGCGTTATCATGAACCATTAACATTCCCTGCATTTTTCTTGGCAATGTTTACGGCTGAAGAATGATTGTCTCCTCCAGCTATTTTACTGGTATTCCTTTGTGACATTTTTCCAAAACAAAATTATTTTCTTTTCACTTTCAGCACCTTACCACATATATAATTGCTAACCACATACTCCATAGGATTATTGAATGCTGAACTATAGAAGAATTGATGCAAATTTAAAAATTGCAGTAAACAATGGAGTCGGAATAATGAATGCCTCGCTCACCTGAAGGTTACTGTTACTGCGTTTTGGCCCACATCTGTTTTTAGCTTTATCACACTTGGAAATGCAGTCGAAGAAGTTGCAGTCATTGTCACTGGTGCAGTTCTGCTCAAGTATGTCTCTCATTTTGGGCTCAAAAAAAGCCATGTCCACATCTATAGCCACCACCTGACCAGTGAAAAACAAAATAATAATCACAAATATAAAATATATATATACAGCGGGTCATATAAATAATCTGGTATTAAAAATCTAATTGAAACCTAGAAACCGAAAAAGAAGTTGTAGAAAAATAACAAAAGAATATTTCATATTGTGCATTATTTAGTGTATATGCGGGTCTTAAAAAGTTTTAATTCGTCCTTCCACAATTTAAGGCTTTAAAAAGTCATAATGCATTGCAAAAAATGACTCTTCCTCAGTATTTTCGTCTTATTTTCAAATACAAATAACTAAAGATCCTAAAATCTTGTTTTCTAAATTTCTAAATTAAGTGAGTTTATGCTTGAAACCAACACGATATCTGTCACAAACTTGTTTTCCATTTTGAATTTAGTAGATTATTCTGAGCCCACTGATGTTTGTTTGTTGTTTTAATCATAAACTCACGTCATTTTGTACTCATATCTTGTGTCATTTTGTTTCTCAAGTAAATGTATCTTGATTTAAGAACCTTTAAACATTTGCTCTGGAAAACAAGCATAAAATACTGATGACGAAGATCACTTTTTTTGCGGTGTGATCGAAGTGTTTGGAAACAGAGCTATCCAGGGCTCAAGCTTTTTTTCCTCCCCTAAAATGAATAAAAAAAATGTAAAAACATTTTTAAATGTTGCTAATACAACTCAATGTTCCTCCCTAGACATTTGCATTTAGAGAATATATTGACGTATTGTGTTCTCTTCAATTTATGACTACAATTGTATTACTTGGTCTTAAAAAGATTTTAAAAAGTCTTAAATTTACCTTAAATTATAATAATGAATTTAATAAATATAATACAAATTAATAATCATTGTTATAATATTAAATATTATTATTAATAATTGTCATCATAATTATCTTAATAACCTGGAATATTTGGACCATAACAAGCCCCAGGCAGCAGATTTTTAAGGAAAATTTGGGGAAATGTATTTGATCTTTCTTGTGTGTGTATATATATAGTGTACTATATAGTGTATATGCGGGTCTTAAAAAGTTTTAATTCGTCCTTCCACAATTTAAGGCTTTAAAAAGTCAATGCATTGCAAAAAATGACTCTTCCTCAGTATTTTCGTCTTATTTTCAAATACAAATAACTAAAGATCCTAAAATCTTGTTTTCTAAATTTCTAAATTAAGTGAGTTTATGCTTGAAACCAACACAATATCTGTCACAAACTTGTTTTCCATTTTGAATTTAGTAGATTATTCTGAGCCCACTGATGTTTGTTTGTTGTTTTAATCATAAACTCACGTCATTTTGTACTCATATCTTGTCATTTTGTTTCTCAAGTAAATGTATCTTGATTTAAGAACCTTTAAACATTTGCTCTGGAAAACAAGCATAAAATACTGATGACGAAGATCACTTTTTTTGCGGTGTGATCGAAGTGTTTGGAAGCTATCCAGGGCTCAAGCTTTTTTTCCTCCCCTAAAATGAATTAAAAAAAATGTAAAAACATTTTTAAATGTTGCTAATACAACTCAATGTTCCTCCCTATACATTTGCATTTAGAGAATATATTGACGTATTGTGTTCTCTTCAATTTATGTCTACAATTGTATTACTTGGTCTTAAAAAGATTTTAAAAAGTCTTAAATTTACCTTTTTCATCATTGATAATCAGAAATGTTTCTTATGCATCAAATCAGCATATTAGACTGATTTCTGAAGGATCGTGTGACACTGAAGACTGGAGGAATGATGCTGAAAATACAGATTTACATCACAGGAATAAATTACATTTTAAAATATATATTAAAACAGAAAACATTTCTTTTCAATTGTAATCATATTTCGCAATACTGTTTTTACTGTAATTTTGGGAAATAATACAAATTTCATATATAAAATACAATTTAGTATGATCACTAAGCACAGGTCAGAATTATATTATATTCACAAAATGTATTTGAAACATTAAAGTAGACGCTTGCATTTAATATGCATATAAAAACTTTATATTTTGAATTGTTCATTATTTTAATTCCTAGGAAGTCAAGTGTAAGTTTCAAGTTTCATAGTCTCGGTTTTTAATCAATGCTTAATTCCATCTCATATCACACTTATTGAATATGTGCCTATGTTGAGATATGGCACCAGTGCCACCTGTCAGCATGTTTTACTGGCATGCAGTAAATTCACATTTAATTTTGCAAAACAGTCTAATAATCATTTTATGCATGTTGTTGCTTTTGCTCTTGCATTTTTCTTTAACCCTCTCATGAAAAATGAGGTAATTACTGGTTGTTGCTGCAGTTTGCACATACACATGTCAGTTCAGGGGCTCCAGGGCTTCGGATGATTTGTGTTCCACAGAGATTACCCCGCAAATCGTCCTCTGTCACCTTCCAGAGTAAACGGCTGTTATCCGCGCTCAGTCCGGCTCTGGTCAGGCTCCTACAGTATCAGCATTGGCTTTAGAATGTTAGCGATATGTTTTCCTTATCATTATCAATCATAATGGTCCGGTGGATGCTCTCCCATTACTTGCTTGTCCCCCTACATAAAATATGTCCTCTGTGTTAAAAAGACCTGCTAAAGGTGTGTGTGAAGTTCACACATTTGTATAAACTTGGCTAAAAATGGCAGTAATAGATTTTTACATTCTCTGAAGACAGTGTGAGTGACTGTCACTATGCCAACATCATGTAGATGTGGAAGTGTTGTTAGTAGAGGACTCGTATTTTAGCTGGAAGCAACGGTTTGAAGTTAAAAATATCTCAATGATGGATTTGTTTCTTACAAACATGCAGCTTTTGGCATCATAAGAAGTTACTTGATGGACTGGAGTGGTGTGGATTATTGTGATGTTTTTCTCAGCTGTTTGGACTCTCATTCTGACGGCACCCATTCACTGCAGAGCATCCATTCATTTCATCCATACGTTTCTCCAAATCTCTAATGAATAAATAAACTCATCTCAATCTTAAATGGCCTGAGGGCGAGTACATTTTTAGCAAATTGTCATGTTTTGGTGAAATATTTCTTTAACAACAGTGTATTAAATTCACATCATGTGTACTTTTGAAAGTGAATTTAGCATTATTCTGATCGTGAACACATATTGAAAGCACAGACTATACTGAAGACAACTAAATTGCTGTACACTTTTCTCTCCAAAGACGCATATTATATCTGACTGTGTGAGTGAGCTTCTTCCGCACCAGCGGACAGGTTTAAGTAATAATAATAGCCAGCATCAGTAATTACCTAAATTACTCCCAGTTGGTTGCTTTACCATGACAACACACTTGAAAAAAGCACTTGAATCTCAGAGGTCTGTTATCAGCTCGACTGAGTCTAAACATAGAAAGAGCTTCCTCCCTACAGACCCTCTCATGGGCCTCTCACGGCGTTCATGTGGGCCAAACACGCATGTTGTGCTCTGTGGTCACTCCGCGGCTTCTGTTCTAGGCTGATCTTTTTTTCAACACTCTTAAGTGCCAGCTAAATTCCCCACATAAATTTTAATTCCCAGACTTTGCTTCAGATGGGACAACAGCTCCTGTCTGCATGTAAACTTTCCCACTGTGAGGCCCAAATCCATTGTATGTTTGTGTGTTCATTATAGAAAGCACACTCACTGTGTTTAGCGATTTGAAAAATGAATGTGTGTAGGCAGAGAAAACTGAGTAGTGAGACTCGGCTCGGAGAAAGTGACTTGTTTGTTGTAAATCATGGCTGTGTTTGTAATCTAGGATCACAAAAACTGATCTTTTTTTCCCTTCAGTACATGAAAGAAGATTAAGTGCTGGATTTGACCGTTCTCGGAACATACTGGCAAGGTTCTTTCAAAATGATGAACAAATGTTTTCCAGTAACGGTTATAGAATGTTATTTTAAACTTATCTGGTCTTTAATAATGTTCAAAACATTAGCAGAAAAAAAAAAAAAAATTTATTCATATTTCATAGGACGTTTTTCTTCTAAAACAGTTTAACTGGATGTTTTTATGTTACTAGTTTCAGAATTTACAGGGTACATTCTAAAGTAAAGTTCCCATAATGTTTGCAGAATTCTAAAATAGAATGTTCCGACATGTTTCAATGAAGAATGACAACAACAACAAAAATATATATATATATTTCTGACTTGTTATAGTGTTTTCTGAATTGTTGTTGTGCTTTCTGAATTATTTTGTTTTTTAGATTTGCATTTGCGTTTATAATTTGTTGTTTTCAGAATTGTGATTTGTTTTGCACTTCTCGGCCACCGTACTGTTTGCATCAAGCATCACTAATACTAGCTTATACATATAGTTAGTGATTTGTACAGCATTAAACCCTGTTACTAACTCATCCTGCACAGTTTGTGCTTCAGACATGAATGATACCTCAACCCGTGTGTATTGTTGAGGAGAGGTGTGCTGTTACTAAGCAATTGCTCTTCCATTTTCACACACACATATGTTTCAACTGTTGGAAAAAACTGAAAGCACACACTCGCACATTGAAGGAGGGAACATACTGAGCCATATCTAGGGAGCAGAAAACTAAAAGGCTCTTGTGAGTCGCACTAGTAAGCAAGCACAACTCCAGTGCTGAGTGAGGACATGAAATAAGAGGGAAACAATATTTTCTTTATGCTTCTGAGCATGTAAGGTAATGATTAAACATTAGACCCCAGAGAATAGAAGTCTATTTCTGTTGCCCACAGGCTGTATTGCCATCTGGCCTGAGCGCTGGCCAGTCCCGGCATGCCAAGAATGTCTGCATAGGCTGCTCTGGGTCACTCCATCATTTTCACTTTACAAGAAACTCACTAAAACTGGGATACAAAATGAGAAAAGGGCCTGTTGTCCGCCGGTATACTCTTGTATGCCAATAAACACATACAGTGGCCCCAAAAAGCTCCATTTAAAAACATGACATTTTATTATATACAAAATATTAAATCAGCTGGGATCTGCAAACAAATGATGCTCAAATTACATGCTCAAATAATGTTTCTTGTAAA